TGAGTTTGACGCGGCCGTTGAATGTTCCAGAGCGGAAAACGGGTAGTATTTCCACGAATTTGGTGTTGAGTTTTCCGAAGAATTGGAAGGATATAATTTTAATTTGGGTTATTGTGAGTGGATTGACTATTCTATGTTGAGGATTTATGTGATGCATATTGAGAAAGTGGTGAAGTTGTATGAGATACGGTCGAATATTGTGTCTGATGGAAATTGGAGGTTTATATTAAGAATTTGGAGAGAGCTTGTGTGTTGGATCAAGGTGGATCGTGGGATGGTTAATTACCGTTGATTGAGTCACCTACAGTATCAGTTACCACTCTAGTATCAGAATGGCGCTGTATGGGGCCTTGTGAGATAGGAAGTGTGGGACTCTCTTGAGTTGGAATGAATCGAGCGGGAGTGTTATGCTCAGATCTGAGAATTGTGCATGAGACGGCTGAACCGATCAAGAAGATCCAAGGAAGGATGTGTTTTGATAATTATGATGGTAACCGGTGTTGGTCGAGCTTCGAAGTCTCGGGAACACACTCGGTGTTTTGTTTATCTGTATCAGAGTGGCACGGCGGAAACAGGGGGAAGTAGCATGTTAGACTACTTTGCCGCTATCGCTTATGGATAGCATAATGTGTTTCATGTGTTTTCATTGAGGGAGTATCTTGAATCAGATGAATGATGTGCAAGTGAGAAATAATTTGACGGTTGAGGCATTGCTAGTTCGGATTGATGAACGAGAAGCAACTCCGGGGGAAAGAGAAACCTTTGGTGGGAGTGGCTTGGAGAGGTGTTGCAAGAGGTAGTGTGACCTGGGAATTGGAAAGCAGGATGCGGGAAGCGCATCCAAAGCTGTTTCCATCATGTATTTTCGGGGACGAAAATAATTAAAGTGGGGGAGAGTTGTAACACCCGTTTTTAATTATTTGGTTTTTCCGTATTATTTATTTTTCGGTGCATTGTGTGTGGAAATTATTTGAGGAATTGAGTTCCATAATATTAGAAAAATATGATTAATAATAATAATAATAATAATAATGTGATGATTAATAGTGTTGATACTATTATTATTATTAATATTATTGTTGTTATTGTCATATTTGAAAATATTATTGGAAGAGTTTGGAAATTAAAGAAATTGTGGAAATAATATTTATTTGGGATATTAATATTAAATTTGATTTTTGGAATGAAGGGAAATGAGAATATTATTATTGGGATTAAGAATAAATAAAATTGGATTATTTGGGATTAAAATGAGAATTAATTATTTATTTGGAATATAAGGGAATTTTGGGGGTATTGAGGGCATAGTTGGCATTTGGGAGAATTTGGAAAGGGGAAGAACGCGTGAAAGGAACGAACACAGTGGGAGAAAGAGAAAGCACAATCAAGAGAGCAAAGGCTGAAGCAAAAAGATCATCAAGCTGTGGATTTCTGAAGCTTCATCAACATCAGAATTGAATTCGAGGTAAGGGGGGAGATACATCGGTTAAATGGTATTTTACATGAATGTTGGTAGAAGGGGAATCCCTAACCCCATGTATGAATATATTGCATGTTGATGATGAATTGATGCTATTGCATGTTGTTGTTGCTGAGATTATTGTGTTAGATTATGTTAATTTCGTTTGCATGTGCTGCGGGATGATGTTTGAGTGAATTTGGAGCTTTCCGGGAAAATTCGAAGTTGAGACGGAAGTGGGTTATTTGAGCAGAGTTGATAATTTGTCGGGTAGAATCAGGAATAGACCTTGTAATTAAGTCGTAGTATGTTGTTTGGTTGCGAGTGGACGTTAGACTCGATTTAATCGAATGGAATCGGTGATGGATACTGTTTCTGCTGTGCAGAATTTTTCTGAGTACGCAGGTATTCGCTGGGCGAATGGGGGGGGGGGGGCGAGCCTTCGCCAGCGAGTGCTGGCAGAAGCTACTGTCTGGCTTCGCCAGAAGTTTCGCCATGCGAGTTCCAGCGAGTGTTTGTTGCGGGTCTTCGCCAGGCGAATGGCCAGCGAGTGTTCGCTACGGGGCTTCGCCAGGAGAATGTGTCAGCGAGCCCGACAACAGTTTGTGTTTCTACTGCTGTTCCGTTGGCTTCCTTTGTGGTTCTGGACCCTTGTTGGTCATGTTTGACGATGAGTGTGATCGCGGGCCGTGGTGAGTGTATGTGTGGTGCAGGATGTGAATTCCTGGATATTCACTTAATTGGAGGGATTGCGTCAGTGTATGTTATGATACCTGTATGTGGTAATATAAGGGTGTTTAGTGCGATCGGATTGATGTGTTGTGATGATAGCTGGGTGTTAAGAGTATGTTGAGGTGTGGGAGGGCCGTGTGGCCGGCGTTTATCGCATTGGACATAATCGGTGGATTATGTGTTAAGTTTAGATAAGTATGGATGTGTATGGATGTAGATCCGTAGGATCGATACGCCTGTTGTGCGTTGTGTTTGTATGTTGTGTGAGGGATGTGGATCAGTGGGATCGACACGCCTTGAGTGCGTTGTGGTGATATGTTGTGATGAGAGGATCCGTAGGATCGATACGCTTTATATGCGTCGTGTTTATGTGTTGTGATGATTGGGTCAGTAGGACTGATATGCCTTAGGTGCATGATGTGTGATATGTTGTGTGGTGAGTTGATCGGTAGGATCGATGCACTTTGTGTGCTTGTGTATGTATGCATATTATGATGTGATGGACCAATGGGGTCGTGTGCTGTGTGTTTATGCATAGTGTCTTGCATGGCACGTGGACGTGAGACCTGTGTGGCTCACGTGCTCCAAGTGGGGAGCGTGGACGTGAGACCTGTGTGGCTCACGTGCTTCAAGTGGGGAGCGTGGACGTTAGACCTGTGTGGCTCACGTGCTCCAAGTGGGGAGCGTGTGGACGTGTTGTGTGATACACACACGTGCTCCAAGTGGGGAGCGTGGATGCAGTGTATGATTCACTGGTGTGCTCCAGTGGGGAGCGTGGACGGGATTTGGATCGTTGCTCGGATGGAGTGTATGCGACCACCCGTGTCCTAAGTGGGGGACGTTGATGTGTGCTCCTTTGTGGAGGGTTGATGGCCCGGTGCCCATCGTGGTTGTGAATTGGTACCGTATAATGTTGAGTCAAGTGCATGTGTTGCATTGTAGTTTGTGTGAATTGTGGATATTGATGATGGGACAGTAGGTCCAAATGTATTGCATTTGTGGTATGCATAGTGGGTTGGCATGGGACAGTAGGTCCAGATATGTTGTATGTGAAATAATGATTTACTGTTTCTGCCTTTTATTTCATGTACATTTATATACCATTATTATTTGATTGTGATTCTCACCCCCTTTGTTGTTGTTGTGGTCTGTGCTTCTTTGGAAGTACAGACAATCCAGGTGTTTAGCTAGCTTGGATTGTGGCGTTGTCATAGGACTGCTCTGATACGTAACACCGGAGCTTTTTGGGAGTCTTATTGTTTACTGTTGATATATGTGCCCTTGTGGCGTATCTGACTTTTGCGAGACATGTGATGATGTTTGATGATTATGTTATATATTTTTGGGCAGATGGCCAATGGTTGTATATATGACGATGTTGATGACCTGGATGATGTATATATGTTGTTTTGTGTTACGGCAGACTATATTCATTTTCCGCTGCAACTTTATTGAAAATTAATTCGAAAAAAAAAAATGTTTTGTGAAATTCTGATGTGAATTGTGACATCCCGTTTGGGAGAGGAACTCTGATATGTGTTTATTTTAAGTGTTTTATTTTGTTTTGGGGAACGGGGTGTTACACAAGGCATGTTGTTATATCAAAGAAAGTATGTCAAAGAGATACTCAAGAGATTCATAATGGATGATTCGACTCCTGCATCTTCACATATTGATCCAAATTTAAAGTTGGAGAAGCATAGAGAGGAAGACAAAGTCGATGCAACTTTGTTCAAATAGATTGTCGGATCTCTGAGATGTGTACAACAATCGACCTGATATATGTTTCTCAGTCGGTTTAGTGAGCAAATACATGAGTGAACCAAGGGTGTGTCACACATGAAGGCTGCAAGAAAAATTTTGAGATACTTAAAAGAATCGACAACTTTTTTTTGTCTGCTAACTAAAAGTGTCACACATTTTCTTTATTTTCTCTCTTTACTAAAAGTGTCTCACTCACTAACACATTTTTATGTCTCTCCTACAACTTAACGACAACGGTTTATTACTTAATGACTAAATTAGCTGCAGCTTTAACGATGGTTTTAATATTATAGATCAAAAGTGTTGATAGAACAATTTTAGGAAAATCATTCTTTAAAAAGAAAATACTTTGAAGAACTAAAAACGAATTTTGAGATATTTAAAAAAAACTAAAAAATATATTTAACCCTTTAATAAATAATTATTGCAAGTGACGGCTAAAACAAAATCTAAAACAAACTCATAACACAAAAAGATGGAGGGTTGCCAATAAACATAACCAATTCAAAAATAATTTCAATCTTAATTTGACATTTAATTCGTTGGACTTAGTATATGTACCAAATAAATCAAATTTAAACTCAAAATTATTAAGTTTGTAAAATAAATAAGTTAAACTTAAACTATGTATAATTCGACTCATTTGTTTCATAAATAGGTTTATAAAAGTTGAAAAATATTGTCTATAATATTTTTTGAATATAATAAAGATAAATAAACTATTTTAATTATCATATTATTACTCAAAGTTAATTATTTACTTAAGTTTAAATTCAACATTTAACAAATCTCATTGATTAGGGGTTATAGACGCGTGCAATGCAAACAATAAAGGAACAGATATTCATAACAACGAGAATGAATTAATAAACCAGGGACTTTGTTCATCAATTTAAAACAATTTGGAGTATCTTACAAGTGGTGATTCATTCAACGAAGACGAAAGAGTTGCATTCTTTTATACAATGGAAACAACCATGGACGAACAACAACACAAATAAAAGATGCAAAATAATTAGTTCAAGGGAGAAAACATGCATATGGATCAAAAGAAATCAATATCTAAATAGTTACCAGAAGGCTTCACGCCAGGCGCCTTCTTTTCAGCTATGAGTGCTTCTTTCATAGCCTGTCTCGGCACTTCCGGAGGAGTTGCGCAACGGATCAGAGCCCAGTTAATATTTTGAAAGAATGGATGTTGTTTTATCTCCGTAGCTCCACGTCTATACGCAAGACGATGCTGAGGCTCTTTCACAAGTAGACCCCTAATCAAGTCTCTAGCAGCAAAGCTAACGCTAGGGGATTCAGGAAATCTTAAGGGCTGCCCAACTACATTAAATAAAGTCGCTCGATTTGCCGAACCTTTGAATGGTGTTCTACCGAACAAAAGCTCGTATAAGAATATACCAAATGTCCACCAGTCTACAGCACTTCCGTGACCTTCGCCTTTGATGATTTCGGGCGCCAGGTACTCGTGCGTGCCAACGAAGGACATTGATCGGGCATTTGTGGGCTCGGCCATAAGCTCAGGGAGAGGTGTCACTTGATTGTGCACGTCATTCTTAGGTTTCAACTTCTTTTCTTTCTTCTTGGATTTGCCCGATAGAAAACGTGGCGTGAAGCATGAAGGTTTGATGCAGTCTGGCTGAATTACACAAGTTGGCTCAATGCAAGCGGGCTGAATGCAGTATCCTGAGCTTTTAGTCTCCAAGCTGGTGTTTGATGACTTTACGAGAGTTGGACTGACGGCACATCTTAGAGAGAGATCGAAATCTGATAGCATGATGTGACCATCTTCTCTCACCAACACATTCTCAGGTTTGAGGTCTCTGTAGATGATCCCAAGCATGTGCAAGTACTCTAAAGCAAGGAGAACTTCTGCCACATAAAACCTGCATGATAGGCATTAACCAAATCACAAAATGCTTCGTTATACTGTCTTCGATACTTCTCAAAACATTCAACCAAAAAATAAAGCATCTATGCTGAAGTGCAGGTCTTCTAAACATGTTATTAAGAGCTATATGTTGATCAGTCGTATATATTTGTCTTCTAGATAGCACTGAAGATATGAGGAGTGATAAATTAACTCATATTGGATTCTTTTTAGCTGTCAATCAAGTGCAGAAGTTATTGGCAAAAAACAGCGAATACTAATTACTCACATGAGTAAAGAACAAATTCCGATATTTTTTACATATCTCGAGACTTGTAAAGGCCATTAACAAGGATCTGTGTATGGAAGAGATCCGAGTCACATGGCATTCAGCAGAATTGAAGTGAAAAGTGACAAGAGAATGGTGAAATGTAAGCCCACTAAGCAATAATCACAAAATGTATTGAATTCATTTAGAATGTTGTAGCTGTATATTTATTTATGAAGCCAGAAAAAGAACTGGAGACCATTCAAGGAAGTATAATTGCATCAACTTTGTAGACATCCATAAACAGTTGAGAGATCATGAGCTTCTTTTAGACAATGGGAAGAGTTGAAAGTAATATGTTGCAGTGATGTCGATGGCGGATGGCGGTCCATGGCGAAGAGCCAAAATCCCGCCATACCGGGCGCTTCGGGGCGCTGTTATTGCGCATTATGGCGGAAAAACCCGCAATAGCGGCCAATATTTACCATTGCGGCGAGCTCAAAAACGCCATGTATATCCGCCATTGCGGCCATTGTGCCGCAATTTGATAGCACTGATATGTTGGCAATATAGAAAATGAATGACCAAGTTTTGCTCAAGTCTTAATTGAAGTAAAACCGTAATTAAGCTATTTTTATATAAAAAAAAATGAATTGAAATTGTTTTTATAAAAATAAGCTATAAGCTGTTTCATAAGCTATCCTGAAAAGCTTATGGAAATAAGTTGAAAACAACCAATGGATATGCCATAATTTGTTTTCATAAGTGTTTCCATAAGATGTTTTCATAAGTTTTGTCAAATAGTCTCACGAGTGTTTGTGTTAATAGATAAGTTCAAATTCGTCAATCCAAAGATGAGTATAAAGGTTTTTCATGTAGATAGACAATTGAAAGACGCATAAATTACAATTAGTGGCAAATAACATAATAGAAAATTTGTGATGGTTCGTAACACATAATTGATGGAAAGCACACCATGACAGTCCAGAAATTCATTTACGCTGGGGAGAAAAAGGATATGCTAACCTTGCAGCATGCTCTGAAAAATACTTCCCAGGTTGTCTTTGCCTGAGTGCATGGAGATCCCCACCAGGACAAAACTCCATGACCAAGCAAGAGAATGATTCTGTCTCAAAGTGCGTGTACAACGACGGTAGAAATGGATGATCTAGAGACTGCAATATTTCCCTCTCCGTCTGTGCTCTCGGAAGCTTCTTGCGACTTGACAATTCTGTCTTGTTCATTACTTTCATAGCAAAACAAGTCCTTGTGCTACTTAACTCTGCTAGATATACACTTCCTATGTCTCCACATCCCAATTTCTTCAACAACCTGAAATGTCTCATTTCCAATCCACCGTCCCGAACTCTGATCGCTTGAATTGCTTCCCATCTTACATCATTTGCTTTATGTGGTTTATACAAAGAACTGCTCAAACTACTGATGCTGCTCTCATCACTAACATCACTTCCTGTACTCCCTCTACAGATGCTCGTCTTCCTGCTCTCACATGAATTACTAACCTCCCCACTTTCAACTGACTTATCGCCACTAACACATTCATTGATTCCGGTGTTGGTGAAACTTTCTTTTGCTTCTGAATAGACAGTAGCAGAATATAAACTATTCTGAGGACTTGAGCAAAACGTAATCTCGGAGTTTTTCTGATCAACAACTTGTTTTGACGAACCTAGTATATCATTGTCAGATTCTAATATGCCATCAGAATCGTGATTCATGGAACCGTCACTGATGCACAATTTTGTCTCAATTGTGGAAATATTCTTTGCCAAACAACTTTCAAAAGTTTCAATATCATCAGATTTACCATTAGGCTTATAATATTGCTTCTCCATTTTAGTCGAACCTTCATGATCCACATTGCTAGCCTCTTGATAGGGATCATTCATCCTTCCCTGATTATGATGATTGGAAGAAGTCCCTTGATCTCTAGACGCTCGTAAAGGCAGCCGAGAAGAGCGAGGGATCCCAGATGTCGAAGGTGGATTGTGATCTATGCCAGAAACAGAATTCTGAACTTCGGGAATAGATTCAACTCCACCAACCGGTGACTCCATCAAGAAATTCCTAATATGCTGCAAAATCCAAATCAACTAAGAAAATTACTGAGATCTACTTATAAAAAAAGCTGAACACTAAGAGCTACAGAATCTTATGAAAAGAACTAAAAAAAAAAAAAAAGTTACAAAAATATGTCAGTTTAGACTTCAAAACAAAACAAAAAACTGAACCAGAAAATTTCCCAAAAAAAAGAAAAAATCTTCAGAAAAATATCACCAAACACTCATCCAATTCAACATAATCCATTTGACAGAAAGCGATTGAAACACCAAATTAAGAAAATAAACAAACCCCACTAACCCAAAACAAAATAGTTCAAAAAAGCAATAAAAAAAAGCTTTCAGATAACAAAGTTTCAATCTTTCAACAAACTTACCAAAGAAAAACTCAAAATTTCCACACCCTCTACTGTTTTTTTATTCCAAAAACTGTGGTAAGTCGTAACAACACTCCAAGTTAAAGTTTTTGCTTTAATTATTCTTCAGAAGGCAAGTTAAACTTTTTCTTTGATTATAGTACAAGAACAGTAAAAGGGTATGGTTAGAGTAGGAAAGAAAGATTAGAGAGAAACCTGATTAACGGGGAAAATTGGCAATGTAATTGAAGAGAAAGAAAAGTTGTTCCATGGGTAAGAAAAAAGTTGTATGTGCCGGAAAGTGATGTTACTTTGATTTGGCTTTCTGCAATTCTCAAGAGCCCTCAGATCCGATCGGAAAAAAGAAGGAACAAAACAAAACAATAATAAATAAAAAAAAATAGTATGTTGTTGGTTTTGTGTTAGTTTTTGGGGTGAAGCGTGGTTTGGGTTAGGGAAATGGGAATTGAAGAAAACGAAGGGAAGTTGAGAAGCAAAGGCAATAAAAAGAATAAAAAAGTGCAGTGATTTAGTCTTAAAAAATGAATCTCGCCGAGTTTCATGTTGGTGTTTCCCCCAAAAGTTAAGTGTTTTTTTTAAGTCCACAAAGGGGAAGTGAAACCAAACGGGTGGCATGGTAATATAACTCATACTCGTGGGTATTCATTCGAATTCGTCACGAAGTTGATCAGAGAAAATTCATTTTGATTTGGTTTAAATTCGGGTTTAAATTTTTCTCAACCATAAAATATAAGAACGGATCGGATAACGAGAAAGATTTCCTCTGAAAATAACTCAATCCCAATTGATTACTGAATTTTTGTCGAAAAAGGAACAAATCAAATCTTCTCGCCTCACTGCTACGGCCAATAACAGATGCTACGGATGGCCGTAACAGACCACTAGATGTTAACTCAAAATTATCACTTGGGTGTGGTTGCTGTTACGGCCTGTAACCTGTGTTACGGGTGATCGTAGCAGCCCACTGCCTTCTAGCCTTTGACTTTTTAAAATGGAGAGAAGTGACCTTATCCTGCTACGGCCCGTAACAGGCCACTAAAACAAGGAGAATTCTTCCGTTTTTTTAACACTTCTTTTTTATTTTTGCTCTGACACTTCTTTTCACCTAAAAAACATTAAAATAACACAACCAAGCATAAAATGCGGTAAACGTAAATAGAATGTGAATAAAAACATGACAAGATTAACAAAAATTAATGGTAAATGACAGTATAAAAACCACTGATCAAATTCCCCCAAACTTAGATCGCTGCATGACCTTGTCACACCCTAATTTTTGACCATAAGATTCTGCCTCCTTGTGCTTTTTTTTTCCTGCTTGTTTTTTTTTTTTTACTTTTTGTATATATTTATTACGGCTAACCAGTTTTTACGCAGGCAACAAGTTCAAGTGTGGATCTATTCATTTATCTCATTAAGTGTTGAGTTTAGTCGTGCAAGACTAGTTATGGTCGCGTGGCAAGCAAGGTTGCATCTTTAGGATCGGGAAAAAAGTCCAGATTGATAATTCGGGAGCAAGGTTGCTTTCGAAATGACAAAGTTTGAATTATGTTGAATCAAGTTTGTGCAAGCTATCGTCAAAACCAAATCAAGACTCGTGAAATCCATATCATCGTTTGAATTCGTGGAGATTGCAATGCTTAAATTTTGGATGAAGATACATTTGGGTTGAATTCGTCAGTTTAAGTTCACAAATCCAAGGCCCATGTTTATTTCAGGCCCTATTGTCAAATTAGCACTCATAAGATCGAGTCCAAAATATAGCTCATGTTTGGTTTAAAATCTACGATCATCCCTCATCACGGAACACCCTTTCTAGTCATCAAGAAGGAAGGAACATCAATTTTGAAAGCATAAAAGATTAAGTGTGACTGTTAATTCACAAGTCCTTGATTCTACAAGCTTTTACAAAAGCAGGAATGGTAAAGTTGAAATAGTCAACCGAGCGGATGCTCATTTATATACATTTTATACTGACGCACCCTTTGTTTTTTCTTTCAAGAATAGAAGATTGTGTCTCGTGAACTTCTAAAGCAAGTACAACCTACTAAACTGATCCATCTGTATTAGTGCGAGTGGTTAAGAACATCCTCATTTTCTCTTACAAAGTATCCTACGGGGATAACGTTAAGAGCACGACGACATTAGGAATTTGACGACTCCGTTCTTCAATTCTAGAGTTTCTCGGTCGGAAGAAGCCCCGTGTCACTTAGAACTAGCCTTTGGTTAATACCAGCAGGAGTCACCATTTAAGTAAAACATGCCGATCAAAGAGTCGCTAAATCAGAAAACAAAACCGCAACATCGGTCATTCAGTACAAGTTCAGTACTTTTGTTGCTCAAGGAATCCAAGTATGCAGTAATTTGACAAGCAAAGGGTGTTTTAACCAGTTTACCCATTATCGACCTCCGGGACCACTTCGCAGACGTTATCTTGCTTCTGCTTAACCTCAACCTGCACAACAGCATGGTAATATCACATATCACTAATAACTCGAGAACAATTGTGCAAGTTGTCGGCAGCCATAATATGCAAAGCATAAGCACATTGTTCTCTCTTTAACCAAAGGATTAGTTATCGCGATGACGGTACTAAAACAAGGAAGTTCAAGGATGAAATCTTCATATAAAACTAAACTCAGAACAATACTAAGCTCTCGCTCCAGAGTGCACCAAGAGGCTTAGAGTTTTGGCTGTAAGGATTTCCTGAAGATTCACAAATGCGGAGTTAGGCTAAGGGGTATTGCAAAAAGAAGTATAAGCATATCAAGTCCCTAACCTTACGGAAGTCTACGCTATTAACAAGTGGACCTAAACATTACATAGCCATTTCTTTCCTCACCATGTGCTAGTCGACACCGAAAGTCCGTAACAACCCGTTTGATGCCCAGCTCCTTCCCCACTAGTTGTTCACCATACCCTTAAAGTTGTAACTCCAAGACTCCATCGAGAGCAAAGAGGCGCCATCAAACGAAGAGCATAAAACAACACTTGCTCGAACCATTACCGCTTGTTGAATTAGCGCGTCATTACGGCGCGAAACTATACCTCGAAAGCAACAAACATCAATGTTATTAAGAGTTTCTACACAGATAAGCAGTCAATCACTTAAGAGAAAAAAAAAGACGTTGAAGTTGGGCAGAGAGTTTAACCCCCAACATGTTGAGGTCGTGGCGGAATGATTTTATAACCCTTAGAATAAAGCAGCAAAAATAGAATCTCGCACGTAATAACCATCATCATTCTGCAAAGCCAGATGTATTAAACCAAGGCTAGAAACAAAGATGTCAATTTTCGAACTAGAGATTTCAGCTCACCTTTTTCAAGTTGCGAAACAAACTCGCGGTAGCAGGCGGTGCTTTCGGTGACCACCCTTGCTCAATTGTAATAGACTCTCAAGGCTTTGCATAATTTTGCTTTCCTGGCATAGAAAAGAAGAGGACATCATTTAGCAACAGATTCCAGTTCCAAAACATTACTTGTTTAGCTGTGAAATTTCCATAATAATACACAACATGTCCAGGAAATCAAAACATTCAAAGCGTGTTTACAACATAATCACGTGAAAGGGGATTTTCTTTAACAAAGTCCACCAGCATAATCAAGTATAAAAGGAAGGTTTTCAATGTTGCCTGAGACCAAAGCAGAAAGTATTCGAAATAAATATTCTGAGCATTCAAAGCAATTAACTCGGGTTTTAAACAGAGATTTTATTTAAAGCTTATAAAAGGGACGGATTCACAACAAGCAAAGGATCGTCACAAAAGAACACAGAGATTCACATATACCCAGAAATTCGTACCAACAATCCCCGCAGGAAATCCCGATTTCGAAAAACCCTAAATACAGAAGGGGGGAATACTTATCTTCATCGCCTTCGAAACCCATTCGCGGACCACCTTCAAAACCTCCATCGCGAACCTCAGCTCGCCATCGCTCTCAAACCTTCGTCATTTTTACAGCCGTCATCGAAAACCTTCGCCGGAAATCGCCATCGCGAACCTCAAGCCATCGACGAAATCCCTGAAAAAGAAAACCCATTCTAAACGTCATTTGATTTTCGCTAACTTTATTTCGCTGTTGTTGTTTTTTTGTTGATGTAGAAATGAAGGAATAAAAGAGGCGGGACGAAAGGTGATAGGAGAAATAGAAGAGGAGGACGAAATCCAAGAAGAAGAAAGGGCGAGAGATGAGAGAAAGAAATGGAAAGAAGGAGATGGAGGGAGTTGATGCAAGAAGAGAGAAGACGGAACAACAAGATCGGCAAAAGGGGGAAACCAATTTGGGATTAGTTTTTTTTGTACTTTCTGGTTAATTTGTTCTGTAATATAATCACGTGCACACACATACCCCACAACTACGGTACACCACACACGTGTAACCCTGGGATCTCCAACGGATCCACATCACACGGTCCACTCTGCATCCCGCGATAAGCCCTCACCCACGTACTTCACCAGATCACTCGCCCACCATCACTTAACCCTTTTATTTGCCAAATAATATAACCATTAACTTTCACTAATTTTATTTTAAATTCATTTGAATGTTTTAATCAGCCTTTAATTATAAAACAACTAATAAAATCTTTTATTTAATCTAACTTTTTTCTCAAATTAA